TTTATTTTATTTTATTTTATTTTATTTTATTTTATTTTATTTTATTTAAGAGAGAGAGAGAGAGAGCACTGGGGGGAGGAGAAAGGGAGAGAGAAAATCTTAAGCAGGCTCCAGGCCCAGCACAGAGCTTGATGTAGGGCTTGATCGCATGACCTGAGCTGAAATCAAGAATCGGATGCTTAACCAACTGAGCCACGCAGGCGCCCCCAGAGCACAAAATATCTTTGAAAAACCTTGAGGGTGTTAAGAAGCAAAAGTCTGAGAGGATAGCAGTGGTATAGGAATACTACAGTTCCCTTCAGTAAGATAAGAGGGGAGAGGGACACTTCTGATTTATAATTACTTTACATAAATCTGCGTAGCAATTTCCCAACCCCCTAGGGAATCAGATGTAGATGCAAGAAGCATAGAATTTCAGGGGTGAATTAAAGGCATTTCAGTGTTCTCCATTCTCCCCAGCCTGCCCTGGAACCAGCTTCTATTACTTGTCATTTTAAAAGTGTAAGAGCTGAGCATTCGACTTCAGGAATCTGATTGAAAAGCATGTTCACAAACCTTTAGAGACTGAACGTCTTTGTCATTCTGTCTTGAGGGCTGGAAATGTGCCTCTCATCTCCTGTTCAGCTCTACCCTGCCCCACTGCCGTATGAGGTCAGGGTGCAACTGCTCTGATGTGAAGTCACAGCCGCAATAATTTAATTACTCATTCAGATGGTATTTTTTCCCATGAAGATAGTCAAGCCTCAAATGCTTATAGATTAAAGCTTTTAATAGGGGAAAGAGGTGAACAAATTATTAATATTAATGACAATGTGTGTCTTTCAAATGATCTTTTGAAGTATGCATATAATTTGTGAACATTAGCTTAGAAATCACCCTTTCTGGAATGAATTGTGTGATAATTACAATGATTGTGAAGCACTTATAACAATCTTCTGTCTAGGTAGAGCATTACAGGTCAAAGAACAAAATCGGCTGAAATGAGGGAGCTCTGCCCTGAAAGAGCAGAAGAGGCAAGTGGGATTGACTCTTGGGTTCTCATTAAGTAACAGGTTATCCAAGTGCTTAGCCAGGCATCTTCCGCTTTGTAAGAACTCAGTCACTGCTAAGCGGGCCTGACATCGTTCCCATAAATCAGTATGTGTGACAGTGGCATGTGGCATGCCATGCTAAACAGAGTAGATAATCATACCTGTATGATGACTTAATGAAGCCAGCAATGCCTCCCCCTTTGAACCTCTTGCCAACTAAGGAACCACAGTAACAAATTTCACTGTGGTTTGTTCTGATTTTGGTGTTTAGGCTAAGCCCCAATTTTTAATTAGCCTATCCCAAGAAGTAATGTATTAAGATACCAGTAGTACAGTGTGCATTAGTTTGAACGTTCTTTTTTCTATGATGCAAAGGTTTGTCATGCAAAGTGAAGTGGGTTGGGGCAAGAGATGGGGAGGTTTCCCTGAAAGTGAGGAGATAGGTTTGCAAAGTGAGGCTGTTTATGCTCCATAATTTCATAATTTCTCCTTATTATTCCCCTTTTGGTCATCTGGTTCAGGCTTTATACCTAATGCCTCAGTTCCCCAGGAAAGAAAGAGTCCAATCATATTTTGCCCCCGAGGCTGTCAAGATAAATATTGTAACCTGAGTGCATGTCTCTAAGTACCCCTACTAAACCAGCACTCTTTTCCTCTCCACTTATCACCGCTTATTTACCTTCTTGAACTTTCTCTGATATTAACATTTCACAAAGGTACAGAAAGACGTACCCAGGGAAACTCTCGCAGGAACAGCTCTCTGGTCAATCCAAAATGAAACCCATGAGAGCATTACCATCAGCATAGCTGGGAAATACGTTTGTAGCACAAAGAAGAGAATATGCCTCCTTAGCACAAAGTTGATGAAAAGCCTATTGTACCAACCTATGAGAAAAAGCCAGAGCTTTCCTTAGAACAGGCTTCCTCATGAAAGCATCACACTAAGTGAAATCACCTGCTTCTTTAAACTCTAAGGGAACGTGGAACTGAACATACTCACCCTTGTTTACCCAGCAGGAGGACAGGGCCTGGGCCTGTCACTCCATCAATATTTGTTGAACTAACTGACCTGTAGTCTGTTTAGTTATGTGATTCAAAGATTCCCCTTAGGTACGTGCACCCCAATGTTTATAGCAGCAATGTCCACAATAGCCAAACTATGGAAAGATCCAAGATGTCCGTCAACAGATGAATGGATAAAGAAGATGTGGTGTGTGTGTGTGTGTGTGTGTGTGTGTGTGTGTGTGTGTGTGTGATGGAATATTATGCAGCCATCAAAAAACCTGAAATCTTGCCATTTGCAATGATGTGGATGGAACTAGAGGGTATTATGCTAAGTGAAATAAGTCAGTCAGAGAAAGACAAGTATCATATGATCTCACTGATATGAGGAATTTGAGAAACAAGACAGAGGACCATAGGGGAAGGGAGGAAAAAATTAAACAAGATGAAACCAGAGAGGGAGACAAACCATAAGAGACTCTTAATCTCAGGAAACAAACTGAGGTTTGCTGGAGTGGGGGGTGGGAGGGATGGGGTGGCTGGGTGATGGACATTGGGGAGGGTATATGCTATGGTGAGCTCTGTGAATTGTATAAGACTGATGAATCACAGACCTGTACCACTGAAACAAATAATATATTATATGTTTTAAAAAAAAAGAAGATAGTAGAAAGGGAAAAATGAAGGGGGGAAATTGGAGGGGGAGATGAACTATGAGAGACTATGGACTCTGAGAAACAAACTGAGGGTTTTAGAGGGGAGAGGGGTGGGGGGATTGGTTAGCCCAGTGATGGGTGTTAAGGAGGGCACGTATTGCATGGAGCACTGGGTGTCATATGCAAACAATGAATCGTGGAACACTACATCAAAAACTAATGATGTAATGTATGATGACTAACATAACATAATATAATGAAATTAAAAATAAAAGATTCCCCTTAAATTTCATAGCTGCTGTTCAGGAATGACTGGTAATTATATTTTGTGGAATGGCCTTTAAAGACCTTTCTCAAAAATATATTGTGTTTGCATTGTTTCTGCAAGTGGGCAAGTCTTCAATACATGACAAACGACTGAGTGAAATAGCCAATAAACCATTTATTAGCTTTAACAAATGAAAGGGAACATTTTATCTGAAGGAAAAGATTCTCAATAGCTCCTGAGTCACTGGATTCCAAGTTGGAATCCAGACAGCAAGGGATTCATAAAGGGAGTGGGTGAAAGGAATATCCATAAACTGTTTATATTTATTTATATATAAATTCATTTATCTATAATAAACCTGAAAAAAGTAATCAAATAATTTTTCTTTGCTTCTGGTTGGAATTATATAAACTCATGTTGGTAATATTGATTGATTCATGCTGATCAGAAGCAACAATTGCAGTCACATCTGCACAATTTTGTTCAGGTTTCCTTTTTCACATTGGTTGAAAGGAAGTTTAAAGCCAAAAAAAACAAGGGACTATAGGCTAAAATTTATAAAACAAAATCATACGCATTGTAAAAGGGTTTAAAGAATACTTCTACTAGTCTCAGTAGTAATTTCTTAGGAAACTCAATAAGATGGCACACTTATTAGATGGATCAGGTCAATAGTTAGGCATTTGTCCCAAAACATAAACCTAGCAAACCCACCCTGAATTGGCAGACTCTCCTCTTAGTATTCTACTCGCAATTTTGTGCTGATGCCCTTCTTGTCCCTATCTGTTCTAAGGTTCTCTCTCATCATCAGTTGATATATGTTTCAGGAATATCAAACAATTTCATTCCCAAGGGAAATAGAAGACACATTACATAGTGCATTGTAAAGTCAGAATATACATTATTTTTTGAGCTACTCATTGTCTTGTATCACCCATGTTACAAACCCACTTCATTATTTTGTGCTGTTGAGAATTTTGATTATAGCTGTAGACTGGAATAACAGCCTCTCCGATGTTATATCTTCATAAAATCATTGTGAGATTAAAGGAGATAAGGAAAAGATGTGGAAGAATTTCATAAAGACACTGTTAGTATATATGGTTTTAACTATGAACTAAATTTTGGTAACAGGGTCCTTTCTTTATTCATAATTTTCTGAATAATAACTTTGTTTTTGGCAACTGAGCAGGAGAAATGCTGCTCTGTTGTGTGGTTCTTCAGGGCAGGAGAGACTAGGGATCATATTGTGGTTCAAACTATAGGCCAGGAAGAGCTCTCTCCACCACCAGGAAAGGTGGTGCAGCCTTGAAAAGATGTGGAACCCTCATTTTGAATAGTGTGATAAAGAGTCTGACTCCACTTTTGATATTTGACTTCTCATATCTCCCAGGCCCTATTTTCCCTCCCCATTTTGTCCCACATCTGGGCAAACCAATAAGAAAGCTGGGTGCTCCCTCTTTTGACAGCCATGGGAAGTTCAAAGCATGCAAGGGAGGCCTCACCCTAGCCCCACCCTCTAACCACCATAAAACCCCAAGCCAGTCACCCCTCCTCATTTTCTCAAGCCATTTTCAGACCTACTTGGGAGCCTACGTAATCCCTCTAGAAAACCTCATTATGTGTGTAACAAATCTCTTTTTACCCTTCTGCTAAGTGTGTGGCATCATCAGTTTTGACATCTGAGCCACATTCTGGGTGGAAAGGCCCATCAGCCTCCATTAGGTTGCTGCACAGTAGAAAGAAGGGGAGTTTGTGAAAGAGAGAAGAGGCCTGGAGAGTTGGCAGCCAGGAAGATGCAAGAGAGGGGAAGTGATTGAGGAGTCAGTCCCAAGACAAGGTTCAAGAAGGTTTTTATACCAGGAGACTGTCACCTTCAATGGCCTGTGACATTAAAGGCCTCATTCTGTTGAAAGGATCCAGATGATGTTGCTGATGAAAACAGTGAGGATGATAGTTACTAGCTCATATTTCCTGAGCACTTACCATATGGAAGATGGCATTCTAAATTATTTAAATGTATTACATCATGTATCCTCACAACCCTATGAGGGAGAGAGTGTTATAAAAACAACTTAAAGATGAAGACATTGAGGCTTAGGGAGACTAACCAACTTGCCAACGTTTCTAGTAAGTGGCAAGGCCAGGATTTGAACTCACGCAGTCTGTCTCCAAAACTTGCACTTTTAGCCACTACATTATGCTGCAGTAAAGAATAATTATCAGTGCATTCTTTAGGGGCAGGAGTCATTTTCTTTTCCTTTGTAAATTTACAGTGCATGATTGTGAGGGACATTGAAAGGCACAAGAGGGCAGAAGCCCTCACCTGCTTGTTAACATTGCCAGGAAAAAGTGGGAACCTGATGGTTCAGCCATCAAATGGAAACTAAAGTTGTATAACTATAACTTCTGGCTCTGAGTCAGAAGTACAGTTTTTTTCTGTAGAGCTGGTTTAGCTATACAGAGGTTATGGTAGTTGTTATAATGATAGGAATGAAGACAAAATATAAAAAAAATTATTTTTGATGAAGCTAATATGTTTAAGCAGGATACTAACCTGAGAAAAACACTTGGGTTTAGGTCTCAGGAGACCATATTTAATAATTCATAATATGTTTAAGCAGGATACTAACCTGAGAAAAACACTTGGGTTTAGGTCTCAGGAGACCATATTTAATAATTCATAGATAATGTGAGGCAGAACTATCATATACTTGTGAGCTAAAATAAATTTGTAAATGCTGATATTTCTGAAACCTAAGAATCATTGAATAAACCCATATATGATTAATAACTTGATATTTGGAGGCACCTGGGTGGTGCAGTAGGTTAAGCGTCCGACTTTTGGTTTCAGCTCAGGTCATGATCTCAGGGTCATGAGATCAAGCCCTGCCTGGGGTTCCACACTCAGTGCAGAGTCTGCTTAAGACTCTCTCCCTCTCCCTCTGCCCTTCCCACCCCCACTCTCAATCTCTCTCTCAAATAAATAAAATCTTTAAAAAACTTGATATTTGACTACAACTTCCAAAATGCTTTACTCTTATATTTTTTATAGTCTTAAAGCCCATTTTAACCTTTTTATTTAAAAAGTATACATTGTAACAATTTAAAAATACAGAAGTGTTGAAATAAAATTGAAAATATTCCCAATCTATACTCAACTCTCAGAAGTACCAATTGTTAATCTTTTTGGACATTAAAAAAATGTATATAAATCTTTTTTTTAAAAAAGATTTTATTTATTTCTTTGACAGAGAGAGTGAGAGAGCACAAGCAGGGGGAGCGGCAGATGGGGAGGGAGAGGGAGAAACAGGCTCCCTACTGAGCAGGGAGCCCGATACAGGGCTCCATCCCAGGACCCTGGGATCATGACCTGAGCTGAAGGCAGACGTTTAACTGACTGAGCCACGCAGGTGCCCCTATATAAGTAAGTCTTTTTTAAAATAACAAATATGGGATTATATATATTCTTCTATAACATGATTTAAAATTTTTTTAATTTATCTTGGGTAATTTTCTATCATGCTATACAAACCATGTATGTTTAAATTCTTTTCTTTTTTTCTTTTTCTTAGAAATCAAAATGTTTTTCCTTAAAATTGTAACCACACTGGAATGTTAAGAATTTTTAGTGGATTTTAAAACACTTAAGAGCATCTTTCTGAGCAGGAAGTTTTTCAGTGTAAGTATTTTGCGTGGCTTTAGGCAGACTCTCAAACATGACCAGAAGAAGTAAAAAAAATCAACTAGTGTTGGACCTGCCTGGTAGGGCTTAAAAAACCCGACAAGGACAAATAAAAAGACAGCAAAGCCAATGGAATGGCATACTGGTGAAGTAAGAATTTGGAAATGAAATTTAACCTTTTCTTTTTAAGAGGATGGGTATATATTAATGGATACTTGTGTTTCAAAAATCTGAAGAGATGTCATTGCCATTAATATACATGTAGTATATATTCTGTGCAGGAAACGATACTCTTGGATTTCTATGCTTGGTATGTATGACATTGTAATAGCTTCAAACATTGCAAAGACTCAGTCACAATCTATCATGTGTCAAAGTTATTTCATCATAACAACGGCAAAATGAAAATAGCTATAAATTATACTTTGACATGTATCATTGTTCATCGCACACATTCCTTTGTTTAAGTATTAATTAAATTTAGGACTCGGAGCATTAAAAATCCTGAGAAAAACATATACAGTTGACCCTTGAATTGCGTAGGGGTTAGGAATGCTGGCCCTGGTGTTGCTGAAAATCTGCATAGAACTTTCTAGTCCCCTCAAACCTAACTACTAATAGCCTACTGCTGTCTGGAAGCCTCACTAAACGTAACAGTTGACTAAGACTTATTTTGTGTGTTATATGTCTTATATACTGTTTTCTTACAATAAAGTAAGCTAGAGAAAAGAAAATGTTAAAAAGCCAGAAGGGAGAGAAAATACATGTGCAGTGCCATACTGTGTTTATCGAAAGCATTCACATGTAAATGGGCCGTGCAGTTTAAACTCATGTCGTTCAAGGGTCCATTGTATTTACGTCAATAGAGAAAGAGAGGAAAGGAAACATATATAAAAATAATAACGGTTTATCTCTAGGAGGTGGGATTACAAAGGCTTTTTCTTTAAACTTCTCTGGATATTTTTTTCAAATTATCTGCCTTTTATTCATCCATTCATGCAACAATTACCTATTGAGCATCTAGTATGTGCCAGGGGTATACCAATGATCAAAACAAATAATAGGTGTGTTACTCATATAATCAGAAAAGAGAAAAGGCCATAAGCATTATTCTAGTTAATAGCATTATCCCAAGCTGAATCCCAAGCATTGTTAAAAAATAAGTGAAATAGAGCATTTGTTCTGGATCTAAATGGCTAAATAGCTGTTGGTTCTAGAAAGTCCAGGCAGGGCGGCCCTGAAACTCAGGGGCCAGCATACATTTTCCAGCCTAGGTATGGCTTCAAAAATCTAACACGGCATTTTATACGGATTCTTCCTGAAATGACCCAAAATGCTAATAACCAGGGAAGAGAAAGCTACTTCTAACTTTAATCAACTGGGATCAAGCATAATTTAAAAAGTGCCGTGTATACATGTTGCCAAATGAAAAATATATCTGTCATAGTAAAGAGCATACGATATAGGCCTGATATTGAATGGACTTTGTTTTACTGCCTGATTCACCCAGCCATACTTACTGAGTATATGTGCTACTGAAGCAAGCACAGCAGTATTTATTGAGTATCTATCATGTGCCATGCCCACTCCAGGTGCTGGGGAAGAAATGGTGAACAAGGCAGACAGATTTCTTGCACTCTTTCTGGTCAGGCCCTCACACAAGAAAGCAGTCAACTAGAGATGTATTTCAGGGAGCGTTAAGTGCTGTGAAGACAAATACAGACAGGGAATGGTGAGGAAGGAGGCCTAGTTTAGACATGATGGTTAAGAAAGCACTCTTTGAGATGGTATTTGAACAACACCCTGAATGGAAAGAGGGAGCCAGTCATGAGAAAACTGGGGGAACATCACTCCAGGCAGCGGGAAGAAAAGGCCACAGCAGCTGTGTAGGTAGAATGAGACAGGTGTGTTTGAGGACAGGCAAGGCCAGTGTGGAGAGAGTGGAGGGGGAGGGTGTAGTGGGTGAGGTCAGAGGTAGATCATGTGGGCCTTGTAGGCCACTTGAGAAAGTTGAGTTTTGTTTTAAGTGTGGTGGAAACACACTGGAGGGTTTTTAGCAGGAAAGGATTGTGGTCTTTATGTTTTCAAAGATCACTCTGTAGGCTGTATGAACAGTAGACTGCAGAGGCCAGGAATGGAAGCAAGGTGTTTATTTAGAGGTGACAGCATGAGGAGGAGAAGTCACGTACTAGAAAGGTGGAGGAGGCTGCCTGTAAAGAAGGAATGAGGGCACTGGCTAAATGGGACACTTGTTTGGATTCAGGTCTCTTCACATGTTGTGGTACTTTGCAAACAGTAGGTGCTCAGTAAGTGCTAATAAACTGTCCACATAAAATAATGCACCTGTGCTGCTGTAGAAAGCGAATCCACTGGATGCACTGAACTCCTCAATGAAGAACTGAGAAAGGGAAATATGCTCATCAGTATTTAGGGACTTGTTTCCCCGTTTCCAGTACAACATTAGATCCTCTTCATTGTAGGCATCTAAAACAAGAAAATAATATTCTTGTTACTAGAATCAGTTCTTGTGCACTCCATGAAGTCTATAGCCATGTTTTACACAGTTCTGTATCCCCAGTGCCTGGTCCAGTGACATGTAGATATCAGATCCTGAAAAACATTTGCCAATAGACTAATAATACCCATACCTACCAAAAGAAAGAATAATCTCCAAAACTTCGACCCTAATCACCGGCATAGTGTGGAGGTCTTTCTTGTGCCCACATGTTGAGTTAAAACTCTCTGAATAGCTGCTCCCCTCCCTGTGTGCAGAGTCCTGTCAAAACACCATCTGCTCCGAGTCAGAGGCCTGACCCTAGGTCGGCAGGCCCCTTCAGTTTTGGTAGCTCTCTCGGATGAAATTCCAAAATCAGCTGAGCTCATAAAGAATTTTCTTCTGAAATCAAATAGCGTTATAGAAAGCTTCTAATGGATTTGGGGAGGGGCATCCACTGAGATTCCCAGCGTTTTGGCCAATTATGAAAACTTGCAGTCAGCTTTTAAGATGTTGTATCAAAAACAACTGATGGGGGAGTGCCTGGGTGGCTCAGTCGGTTAAGCGTTTGCCTTCAGCTCAGGTCATGATCCCAGGGTCCTGGGATGGAGCCCCACTTCGGGCTCCCTGCTTAGCGGGGAGCCTGCTTCTCCCTCTCCCTCTGCCTGCCACTCCGCCTGCTTGTGCTCTCTCTCTCTCTCTCTTTCTCTCCATCAAATAAATAAAAACTTTAAAAAAAACAAAAACAAAACAAAACAAAAAACCAACTGATGGGTCAGCAACAGTGATTGACAAGGAGCCGGCTCAGAGCCCTCTGACAGGGCTTTGATTACAGGGTCTATGTCTAGAGCTGCCTTTTTCTGGGGAACCCAAGTACATTTAATGGAAGTTTGTGACTTATATGGGAACATGAATTCCAGAGCTTTCCAAATTTGGGAGGTGTGTCAGTCTATGTTAATAACATCAGCAAGAATATACCCTTTTAGGGAAATTGTTCCTTTATAACCAGGTGGAAACTACAGAATATGTACTATGAAAACATCCTTTCCCTGCATGTTCTCTTTTGAGAGACAATCTGCCATCATCTTTGGTTTAAAAAAAAAAGTAATTATTTTGAACCAACATATTTAACTTATATCAAGATTTTTAAATGCTTGTTAAGAACATGCTTATATGTGTACAGGTATGTGATGGTATGTTCAGATCATTCTGAACTCTGTACTCATTCCATCAGGAAGTAAGACTTACAGCTTTCCAGTTCAAGGGAACAGTTTTGAGTGTCAAGAGGAAACCTGCTGAAATCCATAAAGCACATGGCTGAAACAGTTATCCTATAAAAGGAGAGAGAAAACAGAAACTGCAGATCATTTCACCATATGGCCAAATAAACCTGTAATACTGAAACTCCCTTACTGTGGCGCTTGCTTTGTGTGCCTTTAAAGAATAGTGCAAAACAGGCATTACCATCCTCTATCCAAATAATGTCTAAGGACGCAAACCCAGGAAGGTGTGTAGTTTGCTGAAAACACAGGATTAACACAGGAATTCCTGCCCTAAAGATTGTTCCTGATCTCACTGTTCCCTAGTCTGCGTCCTCTGTATTTTTTGGCTCCAATGTCTTCAGAAAAACATACTTCAAAGGGAGATGACTTTTAAATAGATTTAAATATTTTCTGCTTTTTTAAAGATCCAAACTCGGTTTCTAGTCATAAAGGGCTGGGATGGTGGTAATAAAAACCTATGGGTAAAGGTTTCTCTCACAAAGGAAGTTGACCTGAGAAAAGTCTCTTTCCAGGACTGAGGAGAAAGCCTGGAGCATTTTCAGTTACAGATTTATGTGATCAGTGCCTAATTCAGGTGCCATGAAGTCTTGCATACTGATGAGGATTGTTTTTTCAAATTTTATATCCTCCTAGATTTTTCTGGCTTTAGGCAGAGGCTGCTATACTATGATCCTGCCTCAAAGTACAAACTCTGGTATCCACAACAGCAGATCAGAGGTTTATAAAAGGCCCCTAAGCAAGTCTGCACAAAACAAAGGCAACAGCTGCTCCTACCCATGGTGCCCCCAAGTTAATCAGAGAAGTAGAACCATTTTATCCTCCATGGGCTTAAATTCTACTGTCAATAATCATGCAGCAAAATGCCAACCCAGGGAAGTATCTGGATGACTTTGTGTCACAAAACACTCATTTTGGTATATTACTGCTACAGTTGACCTTTGAACAATTCAGGGGTTAGGGGTGCCAACCTCTGTGCAGTTGAAAATCATATATAACTTTTTGACTCCCCCAAAATTTAACTACTAAAAGCCTACTGTTGATCAGAAGCCTTACTGACAACATAAACAGTCAATTAACACATATTTTTATATGTATTTTATACTGTGTTCCTATAGTAAAACTGAAAAGAAGAGATGTTATTAAGAAAATCATAGGAGAAAATACATTCACAGTACTGTACTGTATTTATCAAAAAAAAAAATCCACATATAAGTAGATGTGTGCAGAAGGGACCTCTGAAGTCTTTTGAGTCTACTTCATAGTAGACATGAATAAATTAACAACCAAAGTGGTCAAGTAAGTGGTGGTAATGAGAAAACTATCCATGACACTTGTTCAAGAACGGTAAGGAAGAATTTATTTAGGGGAACTACTATAATTTGGTTTATTAACAAGGGAGAGAGGAGTGGGCTCAACTCCAAATACAACAAGGAAAAGTAGGAATTTATAGCCAAGGAGCAGGGTTAGGGGCAGTGGATGGAAACATTACTCAGAGGAAACATCACTCATAAGAGGTGGGTGGGAGGGTGGTTCTGGCTAAAATGAGCTAACAGGATCCTTGCTGAAGGCAGGCCAGGGTGATCAGATATCACCTGGGGGTGGTAGAAGATGAGGAATCTGATCAGATTTGGAGGGTGATCAGATATTGCAGATGGAGGATTCTGGCTGACTGCACTTAGCAGAGACAAACACGGAATCTCAAAAGTCAGGGACTAGGTGAGAAGAAAGTTCAGAGGAGCCTAGCAGAGTCTGGCCAAAGAGAGAAATTCTTTCACCAAAATAATTAATTTTAAGAAGTTGAAAGTTTTAAACAGTTGATTCCTTGGCCAGACGCTGCCATTCTGCTTCTGATTCCCAGTGAGGCCTGACTCGGGTATGTGTCCGAGGCCCATGTTCCTCCTGACTTAAAAGTTCTACCGAAAGTATTACTTCCCTTTCATTGCCTTTTTAAAAACATTGAGAGCAATATGGCAACAGCACCTTTGTCCTAAAGCGAGCATGGTGTTTTTAGTGAACAAAAAGAACCTGTATTAATTTTCTATTACCACTGTAACAAATTACCACAAACTTGGTGGCTTAAAACAACAGAAATTTATTCTCTCACAGTTCTGGAGGACAGAAGTCTGAAATTAGTATTACTACACCAAAATTAAGGTGTCAGAAAGACCCTGTTCCCTCCAGAGGCTCTAGGGGGCAATTCGTTCCTTGCCTCTTACAGCTTCTGGCAGCAGCTGACACCCCTGCACTAGTGGCTGTGTCACTCCATCTCCATCTTAATGGTCACATTGACTTTCTCTAACAAAGATACTTACGACTGATTGCGTTTGGGTCCCAACCAACTGAAACAGGATAATTTTCCTACCTCAAGATCCTTAAGTTAATTACATCTGCTAAGATCCCCCCCTCCTTTTTTTTTTTTGGCCAAATAAAGTAACTTTCACAGGTTCCAAGGACTAAGGCATGTATATCCTTTGGGGAGCCTTTTTTTTTTTTTGGAGTCTTACGACAGAGTCTTTCTGGGATTTCTAAGACATGAAAAACATTGAATTACTTGGATTTACTAAGCATTTTTAGAATTACCAATGATAAGCCATTCAGTAAGTACAGGATTCATTAGGCTAAAAGAACATATTGTGAATTAAAGATGGAGGGCTATTATAGCATAGTGTCAGAAAAAATGTTTTGAATTAAAAAAATGAAAAGGGAGTAAAACAAATCAGTGGTAATTTGAACAATGACTATACCTTCTTGTAAAAAATGAAGGAGATAATTAAGAAAACTATTTAGTTGATCCAAGATTCCAAGACTGCTTGGTAATATGTAGTTGGTAAAGAAGAAAAGCAATTTTGTGCACCTATAAAATTGTGGGCCAGACTTTTGGGGATTTCCATACTTTGGCCCACTCTGTCCAATCTTATTTTCTATCATTTTCCAATGATATGCTGATATCCAACGATATGTAGATAGAGTAGAAAACTAGTCTTTAAAATCTGGAAGTTAGAACAAGGAAAAATCACATTTTCTGCCTGTGTCCCAACCTTCAGCATGACTAAACAGACAGTAATACTGTGAGTTTAGTCAGAAGTGAGATCCACTAGCTTTTGTGTAGACAGCCCTGGTATAGGGAAGCCAAAGAAGGTACACAGCCCTCCTTACCTGAGACTGAAGAGGACGTTTCCATCAGGGTGTACGCGCAGCATCATGTTCTCCACAGTTGTATCATGAATGAAGGATCTTTTAGAATGGACAAAAAAGATGTCAGGCACCCAAATCTTTTTGATCAATCTATGATCAAAGGTCATGCTTTTGTTTGTTGTGCTAGGAAAGGAGAGCCTCTCATCTTTCCAGTAATGTCTGAGATAAAAAGTCATTGTAAAGTCCTAGGCAGAGAGAAAAAGAGACAAGTCAAAGCCAGAGGAACATGGTTCAGGATGACCAATTAATACCATTAGTCCTAGACTGATTGGCATGGGCGTTAATGACCTATAAAGTGAATGGCTTATATTGTATTTTCAGGCAGATTTAGGATGAAGCCAGTGAGCTTGAGTTGCAGAGCCTCTCCTTCACTTGAAGTCTGGTGAGTGTTGAGTTTCTAGGAACCAGAGAGAATTCAAGTTGGGTAAGGGAAGCCAGGTTATAACTGGAAAACATTTCTACATAAGCACTGGTATAAATCACCTGAAGAGATCTCAGAAGAAAAGAATTTGGAACTACATGGCCCAGTATTTTATTTTGACTTATTTTTTTCATTGTAAATATATATTCACTTTTATAATGGATTCTGTATCCATACATTTGTATTATTTTTGTTAAAGAAGCCCCCACCCCAAGTTGAATAAAATATAGTCCCACAAAAATGGATACAGCATTTATTAGAGCTGTTAATAGAAAGCATGCTGTCAGAGATCCTGACATGGAGATAACGATTTTCCTCAGCTTGAGAGAGAGAAAGAATACCAAGAAATTGTGGTTCTCAAATTCTAGTGTCCAAAAGACTTACCTGTGAATTTGTCAAAATAGCATATTCCCCAGAAGCTAGTACCCTGAGATTCTGGCCCAGTATGGCTGAGGGAACTGAATTATTAGTGTGTAACCCAATTGTAAAGAGAGAAAGATGGGGGGCAGACAGAGCTATATTAACATTATTTTAGCAGGGAAAAAAATGGTTAGTCAATACTTTGAGATTTGTTTGGCTCTCAGATGCTACATTTAACATCTTGTTTGTGTGAACAAAAACTCCCCTAGCTACATCCAAGTCATTGGGTGTGGACGATGATGATGTGTTTCATCTTTCACAATTGTTTACATCTTACTATCATTTATTTCCCAACAATACTCAAATTATTCTTGAACTAGCACATGTGACAGAACGTTGACATTTATGGTTAAGCAAAAGACAAATCTCAGTAAACTACAGATAAGTCACCAATTAATGATGAGCTAGGTTTTTTTTTTTTTATGGTTCAGAATAGAGGTGCATTGTATTATTGCTCTAGGTTAATCCGGGAGCATCAGACGTGTAGTTTTGAATTAGGGTGAGGGCAAATAAATAGAATGATTCATTCATTCCCATAACACTACTCTACAGGGTGTTGTGTGGGTTACTGCATGGATTGCTTTAGTAGGCATATATTTAGAATTAGGTGCTCAATCTGATCTGAGCTTATGAAATCAAATAGCAGACATTGGTACATTTCAGTGACACATCAACATCGCCACTAGTGGGCACCATCATGAGAAAGCAGGCTGAACACCATGTTGAGAAGAGAGTGGGGTAAAACTTCAAGGAATTGAAAGTGAATTCAGGGTGGGAAGATGATAAAGGAGAAGCAAAAGAAGCCAACACTGGGGGTTACTGATAATTAGAAAGCATTTTCACCTTGGGCATGGAGAACCCAGTGCAGTTTTAGCTGATACTGAGTCCCGTAGTTCACCTTATTCAAGAGAGAAGGATAAGGTCTGGTTTTAGGGGCACCTGGGTGGAGACAATGAGAATTTTAGATGCAGACTGGGTCATTCAGTGATAATTTAGAGATTATGCCAGGGAAGAGGAAAAGAGTACTTGTTCCTGGAGTACAATAGACTCAAGAAAATGTCAGTAGAAGCTGGTTTTTGTCAGAGAAGAGACAAAACTTTTGAAAAAAGGCATTTTTAAGTAGTGAGTACCCTTGATGCTATTCCCTTTGGGAGTAGGGTGGTTAAAATGAAGGAAGTTTCATAGTGAAACTTGAAATAATACCAAATTCGATAATGATAAGGACTACAAGAACATTAACTGAAGATTGAAACAAATATAACAAGTCATAGAAAATTTTGTTTAGCATTCGCTGGAATTTTTATATGTCCTATAATTTTTCATTCAGTTAGCATTTGGATGGCAATGACTAGTTGGAGGAATCACTATAAATAAAATATTAAGTATATATACAAAAGATTATTTGATCTACCAATTTAATTGATTTATATTTTCTAGGTCGGTTTCCTTAAGAGATTCCCTACTTTTTTCTCTTTCTTTTTATTTTTTCCTTTTTTTAAAATTTTTTATTGTTATGTTAATCACTATACACTACATCATTAGTTTTTGATGTAGTGTTCCATGATTCATTGTTTGTGCATAACACCCAGTGCTCCATGCAGAACGTGCCCTCCTTAATACCCATCACCAGGCCAACCCATCCCCCCACCCCCCTCCCCTCTAGAACCCTCAGCTTGTTTTTCAGAGTCCATCGTCTCTCATGGTTTGTCTCCCCCTCCGATTTACTCCCCTTCATTCTTCCCCTCCTGCTGTCTTCTTCTTTTTTTTTTTCTTAACATATATTGCATTATTTGTTTCAGAGGTACAGATCTGTGATTCAACAGTCTTGCACAATTCACAGCACTCATCCTAGCACATACCCTCCCCAGTGTCTATCACCCAGCCACCCCATCCCTCCCACACCCCCACCACTCCAGCAACCCTCAGTTTGTTTCCTGAGATTAAGAATTCCTCATATCAGTGAGGTCATATGATACATGTCTTTCTCTGATTGACTTATTTCACTCAGCATAACACTCTCCAGTTCCATCCACGTCATTGCAAATGGCAAGATCTCATTCCTTTTGGTGGCTGCATAATATTCCATTGTGTATAAATACCACATCTTCTTTATCCATTCATCTGTCGATGGACATCTTGGCTCTTTCCACAGTTTGGCTATTGTGGACATTGCTGCTATAAACATTGGGGTGCACGTACCCCTTCGGATCCCTACATTTGTATCTTTGTGGTAAATACCCAGTAGTACAATTGCTGGATCGTATGGTAGCTCTATTTTCAACTGTTTGAGGAACCTCCATACTGTTTTCCAGAGTGGTTGCACCAGCTTGCATTCCCACCAACAGTGTAGGAGGGTTCCCCTTTCTCCGCATCCCCGCCAACATCTGTCGTTTCCTGACTTGTTAATTTTAGCCATTCTGACTGGTGTGAGGTGGTATCTCATTGAGGTTTTGATTTGGATTTCCCTGATGCCGAGCAACGTTGAGCACTTTTTCATGGGTCTGTTGGCCATTTGGATGTCTTCTTTGGAAAAATGTCTGTTCATGTCGTCTGCCCATTTCTCATCTTTATCTTTTTTTTTAAAGATTTATTTATTTATTTGACAGAGAAAGGCACAGCAAGAGAGGGAACACAAGCAGGGGGAGTGGGAGAGGGACAAGCAGGCTTCCCACTGAGCAGGGAGCCCGATGCGGGGTTCAATCCCAGGACCCTGGATCATGACCTGAGCCTAAGGCAGATGCTTAATGACTGAGCCACCCAGGTGCCCCTTTATCTTCTTTTTTTACATTTTATCTTCAATTGTGGTATTTGCATATGATAAAAGTAACATATAAAATCTAAATTTCAAGCAGAAAGAAGTTAATAGATAGCAAAGTAACTTCAGCTCTACAAAAAAATGCATAATAGTAACATACATAATTAAATTGGTTTTTTAAAACACTAGCGATTTTGACACTATTCTCTATCTTTTCAGGAAAAGACCAATATCTCATAAGAAACTTACCATGTTAACCTCTGAAATGCTGTCAATGCTTTCAACCCGGACATCTATACCTACTGGCACTGGAGACCCTTCAGAAAGAAGAATGAATCATATACTTAGAAATCATTAAAATTATTTTGGTAATATTCAAAGCAGAGAGAGATCAATGTTGCAAGTGAATTACTTTAAAAATTGTTTTAACAACAAATTTCTCCATTATCTATTCATATATTATTATATAGTCAATTACAATAAAAAGGCACATGTGTAAATGTTATTTCAATAATTATTACACATTAGACATTATTATATATACATAATTATATACACATTACACATTATTACACTTAGAAACAACTCAACATTTTCCTTCTTATAGTATACTTATGGTATAGAAGTAGTGTGTTCAATTTTTTTTGTTTTTTGTTTTTTGTTTTAGCTAGTAGTGATTTAAAAGAGAACAATGTTTCAAAAACATAGGTCTAAGATAGTCAGGGAGTGGAGTAGTCGTGGAGTTCATGACTCTGAAAAATGTGGGAGCCTTTTCTCTCTTTCCAAAAAATCAGCTTCTTCTACTTGGGCAGTGCGTGGTAGGCTGGAAGAACACAGACCAGAGTAGTCTACACAGGGCTGCCACACACTCACAACGGTCTCTTTGCAGGACATCGGTAACCACAACCTGCAGTTGGGATGAAGCAAACATCCTTAGAAATGTGTTTGATGAGAATGTATTGAAAGTCAGAATTGGAGAAAATTCAGACAAGCGCTAAGATTTGTTTGCAGTTGGGTCTCAATGAATCTGGTTCATGGGTCCGGAGAACATGGATGACAACACCATAAGAGAACCTAGACCAGACCAAGACCAAGACATTTCCTTGTTACAGCTTACAAAGGGTTTCACCAGTTCCTGTGTGAGGGTAAACTGATGTTAACAACTTCCTTACTTAGTACCATGCATGGAATTTGATGTATGTATATGTTAAAATAATTTTTATGTTTATACATGTAGTCTTCATATGCTTTCTTTTCATGGTGACCAATTCTCAATTAAATTTTTTGTCTCTGTAGAATTCTGAGTTTAAAAAAATGCTTTCAACGATTTTTGCAGAAACAGAAATCTTGCCTAGGTGGATCCCAGGTTGTTTTAGTCAAGATTCTGCATTGAGAAGGTTTGGGCTGGAAAACTTCCTCCTTGAGGCTAATTAATGTCTGGATTTGTGACATGTGACATACATGTGCATATCATTCAACAAAGTGCCTAATTACTGTGTTTTAAATGCATAACACATGGGACGCCTGGGTGGCTCAATCCTTTAAGCAACTGCCTTTGGCTCAGGTCGTGATCCCAGGCTCCTTGCTCAGCAGGGAGTCTGCTTCTCCCTCTGCCTGCCGCTCCCCCTGCTTGTGAGCCCTCACTCTCTCTCTCTCTCTGTGCCAAATAAATAAATAAAATCTTTAAAAAAAAAAATAAATGCACAACACATTATAAAACAAGATATGCCTCGCCAGTCCCTGTCCACCAACTAGGACTCCCCTCATTAATTGGCTGAAGTTACCTTCACTTTACCAAGACAGATTTCCTTTTATATTCCATAACATACCCTCATATCATTCCTTACTTACAGGAGTTCCAGCTGGATAGGCCCTGGGCTTGTCACCCAAATACATTTCCCACTCTGGGTTTCAGGAACACTTTGCTTGCATCGTAAACACCAATGACTTCCTGTAGTATTGGATCAGTTACTTTCTATACATTAATGATGACAATTCTATTTAAAAATTGTTTAACGATAATTATGGTTATGCCTTAACTTGGGAACTCTTCAGGATTACTCTATTATATACCGCGTTCAGCTCTGATGCTTTTGTTTTGTTTACTTTTTTTCTTCAGTTAGTAGAGATATCACAATAAAAATTCATGGCCTTTCAGGATTGCTTCAGGATGAGTAAATATTCCCATTAATTCCAATAGTTTAAGGGATTGAAAAGCCTGGCACGGTCTTGGAGAGGTAGCAGAAATGTCCTAGTTAAACTTCTGGTGTTAGAGTCACAGACGGGAGTTTGAACCCTGCTCTACCACTCATCTGTGATCCATTGTAAGTAACATTTCTAAACTTAGTTTCCTCACCTATAAAATCCTAGTAGCAGTACTCACCTTGGAGACTTATTTGAGGACTAGCAATAATACACAGTTAGTAAACTTAATTGGTGTTCAATAAATGGCACTAAATAAATGTTATTGCTATTGCAATTCAACAAAAATGCAAACCTGCTCCTAGCAATGCAAGTTACTATTCCCAGTCTTGCACTCAAACATTTAATCAACCCACTCCTGATGAGAAAATGATACAGTGCTTCTCACAGAGCACCTATTTTATGACAAAACCTGAGAACAATTTGCATGTAGAATTTTGTGACTTGTAAGCAGATCCCAGTTGTGAATGACTATTTCTGCAAGCTGGGGCAGTCATATAAAGCCACCACACAAGGAGATATTCATGCCACCACTGGAAAGAACTAGACCCTCAGGGTGGTTAGAAGACTGGTTTGGGGTAAAGAGTGGGGTAAAAACATGACTTGTCCATTAGGAATGGACTCCTGGAAACATTCTCAATTTCTTTTTTCTTCCTTTCATTTCTATTCTTGGGGGAATTGAGCTCTTCCATTCTGAAGAAAAATGTTTGCCCTCAGATGCCATCTGACCTCATTTTTGGCTCCTTTGAACTCCATGCCCAAGTGTACCTTACTCTGGGGTCTAGGAATCTATACATTCTCGAGGACAGTGTGGAGGGGGAGGGCCATGTAAAGGCAAGGTGCAAAATTACATAATTTTGGAGCTGGATATAGTTCCAGATATCATTCTTTTTATAGACAAGGAGCTGAGTCTCAGAAGAGAGAAGGTAGTCATAAAGCAGATGGATTAAAAATCACGGAATTTCTAGCTACTAACCCTGAATTAAAGCCAAAACTTCCATAAATCCCTTAATTCCTCTAAGTCTCAGTTTGCTTATTTGTAAAATAGGGGAAATAAATCTGTGGTACTTACCTAATAGCCTTGCCGTGAGACTAAATGAAAGAATGCGTGTCAAGTCCTTAACCTAACCCCATTCAAACGTCTTACCGACCAACCTGTCCAGCATCTATTGGAACAGTAACATATATAACAACATGAATAATAACAATTTCACAAATACTTGCATTAATTCCATATATAAAGCGTTTGGAATATAGTAAAAAATAAATAAACATTAACCGTTATCATTATGCGTTGATTTCCCAGGATCAATACCTAGGTAGTGGCACACACATCTGTTGTCGTTTTTATATACGTAAGGATAGACCATCAGTCTATTTTTATGTATGCTGGGATAAGTATTGTTAAATAACAGTCATATGTCTTATGTGTATAGTACACTTAAAATACATCATACAATATATTATCTCCTATTATCGTTACAGCTGTTTGTTAGGTAGGTGTTACCTCCATTTGACATATGACATAACTCACTCGGAGATGTTAGCCAGCTTGCCTGAAACCCAAGGCTAGTTAATGCAGGAATACAGCCAGTTCCCTCCAGCTCCCAGGCTAGTCCTCTTGCTTGACAAACATAGATCATAAAAGCGGCTTTCACAACCTTAGTTTTTGTCTTGACTCAGTAGCCAGTATCTAGATGCTAAATTGATTTCACTTTAAAGAAACAAATCATCACCTCTAAGACTGAAACAAAAAAGCCCTCAGTGATGAGAGATGTAAAGGGTAGGAAAAACATAAAGAAAATGAGCTGCAATTTATAACCCAAGTTAAACAAAAAGCTCCCCTAAATTTATATCCTCCTGTTTCCACATAATGAGTCAATTAATCTTCTAATGCTTTATAAAAGTAAAAAACTCTGCAGTAGCAGCTGGTTTTAATGTTAAAGCTAATTAGGAAAACACATTAAGGCAGGAGAAGTGCTGAAGTTACATTTAGCACAAGAGGAAAGAAGTATGTGCGTGTGTTTATGTTATGAACAAGTATAAAGAAGGAGATGATAAATTAAAGCCTGTCTTGTCTATCCTGCAGCCTGATTCCCCCAGGAACGCAGCCTTGAGAGAACAGAGAAATGGGTCACTGGTAGAAGAAGCTGTTCTGACCAAGACAAGAGAAGGTTAAGGACTGTTTTTCATGGAGCTACTAGGCTGACACTTCTGCCTGAATTTATGGACTCTTCTGCCTGAGCTGACTGAACACATAAGACATTTGGACACCATTTAGCCCCAGTCCATGACTGTCAGAAAAATTTCTTCATCGTGGGATGATTTGCCACCTGCCACTAAGTAACACATTTCAATTGCATTTTTAATAACCCCACAATATAGCCTCAGGAAAAATAATTGCTTTTTAAAAAACCGTTCCCACTCAAAATAAAATCTTAACATGTATCTCCAACAGATCAAAGGAAGTGGAAATTTAAGGTCAATTTTATGTTTTTCTGGGGGACCAGGATGATACAGGGGAGGGAGAATGAAGATTTAAGTGTTTTAAGGTAAGAGCAGAAGGTCCTCCCTCAGTCATCTGCAGCAGTGTTTCTCAATTGTAAAGTGAATTCAAATCACCTGGGGATCTTATTAAAATGCAGATTTTGATTCAGAAAGCCTGAGCGTGGGGCCTGAGCTTCTGCATTTTTAACTAACTCCCAGGTGATTCTGCTGCCGGTCCTTGAATCACTTTGAGTGATAAAGCCTTTCTAGAGAGAGTGCTTGTGTCCAAATTCAAGGACAGCCATTTTTCTCTCAATCTTTCTGGCTTTCGGTGGTCTAAAATAGACCCATAGAAACCCTTTCCTCTAAGATAGGAATTCATTTAATTGAGGAACCTAAACTGACAGGAATTAGGGCAGCTTTTTGTATTGGTGTTGAAGTGCATACATCGTTTTGAGCTTCTGATTGCTGTTCAGGAAAGGCCAGGTCCAAGCCATTCCTGTGCGACTGGCTCCCTCTAGTGCCTAAAAAGGCCCATGGCAGGGCAAGTCTATCTTCGTAACATTTTCTCCAACTAAACGTTGGTAGGGGAGACATTAGAAACTTTTTATAGAATCCTAGAGACCAACGTACAGAATAATTGCATGATAGCTGTAGAGTATATTATCCAAACTGTGGGAAAACTTTGGTTGGTGAGGAAAGAAACGGTCTGTTGGGAATTGTAGTTTAGGGCTCAGGCATCTTTGGGAGAATTCCAGTAAGGAAGACACATCTTGAGGAGCAGTGATGTGAAGAAAAGACAAAGAAGTAGTCCCGGAAGTAAAACACGAACACATCTTTAAACCTGATTAATTTAGAGGCTGCTAAAATCTTAAATTAACTTCAGTAAGTGTGAGAAATGCTCTGGAAAAAACAAAAAATGAAATGCCCGAGAGTTAATCTGATGCTGATAATCTAATTCAGCAATTATCAAATGTGATTTTCAGACTAGCTGTATCAGCATCACCCAGGAGTTGATTAGAAATGCAAATTGTTTCCCTGAAACAATAATACATTATATGTTAATTAAAAAATTAAAAAAAAAAAGAGAGAAAGAAACGCAAATTGTTGGTCCCACCCAGATCTAGGGAATTGAAACCTGGGTGTGGGGTGGGGCTCAGCAATCTGCTGTTAAGAATCCCCCAGGTGACTTTGATGCTTGTTAATGTTTTAGTCACGAATCTAATAAAACCAAAGCCAGACCCTTAGAATTGCAACCCAATGGATTCCACGAAGTTAAAAAACAATAAACACCCCTCAACATCACAACTACCTGACCTACTGTTTTATTTTACCTACTAACAAATGAGTCCTCTGAGGTACCTACATGCCCGTTGTGCTTCCCTTGGTCATAACCACAATAGAGCCAGTGTCAAGTTTCCCCCACCCCACTCCGAAAACTTAAAGTATGAGTTGTTTATGAAAAAGCTGCCCCTGTTCTACAGCTGAGGGCTCCTGCCTTCTCAGCTTCACATTTGCTTCTGCTATAGCCAAACCTCTAATAGTCTGAAAAGTTGTTAGCTCAGGAATGGTGGGAGTGGAGACTTAGGTCAATGACAGAAGCCTCAGGATGGATTTAGCAGCAAGGCGAAGAGTTCAGATTGACTGCTTGATTCCACCACATCCTGTGCATCTCTGGAAAACTTGGTTCCCTCAGGGATGCAACTAGACTCACGTTAAACAATCTGAGGGCAGGAAAGACTTTGGTCCAAGTATGTCCTTACATGGCCTCCTGCGGTCCTGCTTACCTGCCCTTGCATCTCGGTTCCACTGCCTATTGCTTTTTTCCTGGCTTTGAGCAAATCTCCTAACCTCTCTACACCCCAGTTTCCACACTGGAATATTAGGGATCATAATAGCGCCTACTTATAAGGCACTGGGAAGGTGGAATAAGCTAGTGTAGTAACAGGCTCAGCCCAGTGCCCAGCACTCCCACATTCTGGAAGGTGCCTGAAGTAATAAAATGAAAAACCTGAACAGAGATGTTTCATAGGGAGAGCCGTAGCATTTGGTGTGTTAGTCCTTTCACCAAAGCCAGGCACTCCAGCTTACAAACTTATTCAATAAGATTTTATGAATATCATCACAGAATCCAACTTACAGGTTTTAGTTGAAAGAATAAGTAGTTGCTGTATAGGCATGATACACCCATTCACTATTTATTGAGCACACACTCTTTGTAATTAGTAAATAGTGTGGATCTTTACTAAAGATATTTATCTTTTGATCAATTTAAAATTTATTAATTGTTCTCATTCAAGAGAATATCATTGTAAAAGTTTTTTTTTTTTTAATTGATGTTCTTCACTTGTGTTTTGGTCTTAATTGCTTCAGATTTTCGACTTCATGTTGACCGTGCAAGAGATGGTGGCCTAAGAGTTTTGTAAAGATAGTACTCACCTCCAAATCCAGGCCTCATTGCAAAGTCATGGTCCTCTATTTGGAGAAGTTGATTGTATTGCCCGAGCCATGCTTTGGTACTGTCATCTTCCCTCATTCTGGCTTCTTGTTTGCTATCCCTCCAAAGGGGAGAAAAATACTTTTGAGATATGCATGCTTTTGGGTATTTTGATTTAGGTTAGCCTTCTGTGTTCAACTTGGTATCCTTTGAAATATATACATAAAACTCATTTTCTCAGTTTATACTACACATAGCTAAAGATCTGCCAACATTTACTCTTTATTATATAAGTGTGGGCAGGTAAGGTAACCCAAAATTTGGAGCAACTTGGACGATAAACCAAAACTGGATGTGATACTCTGGCAGGCGATGTTTCTCAGAATATGGTTTTTAGACCAGGAAGACCTTGTCACTACCACCTTAGATCCACGCACCCCACCCCCAGATCACCTAAACCAGAACCTGAGGAAACAGGGCCTAGGAATCTGCATTAAACATGTTACTTAAGTGATTCTTGGGGTCACCCAAGGAAAACTACTTCTGCACTAAGACAGTAAAACAAAAACAAAAACAAAATGCAAAATGGTAAACTGATGAAAATAGTGTTTTACAAAGACAAAATGGGCAGAAATTACGGGTGCAAGTTGAGATTAGAGCAGAATGTCTGTAGTAAGTTCTAGAACCTGAAGGATGGCCATGGGAATGCAGAGGAATCCAAAGGGAAAATGGATGGATTCAACAATTGATTGGAATTGATGTCTGGTCCAATTTTGAAGTACGTGAAATCAATTTTCATCTACAGTTCTCAGGGTAAAGGCAAAGTGGAGAGTGGCCTCTCAGGTGTTCCCGGAGTCTGATCTGGGAGTTACCCTGTAACTCCCTGGATCTGTGAACTCGAGAAAGTTGCTGGATTTCCTTGACTCATTTTTTTGTCCTGTGATACGTACTTCACAGTGGTTTGCTACGAGTGGAGGCAGGATGTCTGTGGAAGCACAGCTCCTCTGGAAGGGGAGCTATCTGCTTATCCCGGGTGCTAGCGACTTTGCTCAGCTCCTTCCAGAGAAAGATGCCTGCCATCCTCACTGTCAACAGCAACAACTGCAACAACAACAGGACAGACACTGAGGGGTCTACTACGTGAATTCTAGTTACTCTGAATTCCTGATATGCTTTTGCATTAATAAATGTCTTCTCTAGAAACGTAGGGTGAACTTCAGCATAAGACTTGTGGATGCAATTTCTTAGCTCAATAGAGTGATTTGATGATGAGAATTTCACATCCTGAAGCAGTTGGATGAAGAAATATGTCCAGGCTTATGGGCATCTATCACCATCCAGAATGGTTTTTCTTTTTTTTTTTTAATCAGAATGGTTTTTCAATAGGGAAGTTTCTGGTCAAGATCCTCAGAGATCTATTTTTGCCATTGAGAAAAATGGGGAAGTTAGAAGACGAAATCTGTCTTGGGTAGAAGACAATGAGTTTGATTCTAAACATGTAAAGTCATATGTTCTACAAATAATTGAATACATAGAACTATTTCTTCCAAGGATCTCAAATTAATTAGAACATTTCTTTTAAGGAGCTAGAGTGAACTATTTATTAAAAAAGTAGTAACAGCTAATATGTTTATTAAATGCCTACTATGTTCAAGGCCTCATGCCAGGATGTTTGGTAAATATTAAATATTATCTTCTTTGACATGCATCTGAATCATCTGGTTTGCTGGGACCCATGCCCAGAGTTTGCATTTATAACAATTTCTTAGGAGAACCACTAGTCTGGAAAATAGTAGACATTTAATAAAAGCTAGCTAATTGTTGAAAAATCAAATGTAACTGGGTAAAAACTCATGAAAATTTGTGAACTTCTTTGGTAATATAATACAACTAAATGGCCATCACTCATGTGTCCTTTCAGAAGCATACATTTTCAGAAGCATCATGAGACTGGAAAGGATAAATCTTAAGAATCCCAAGAACACTGAACACAGAACCTGTTAAGGAGTGTACTCTTGGCAGTACTGAAAGTACACACACCTGTTCTTACCTCAAGGGCTTTTCTCATGCACAGTGAGATGTCCCATACTTATTTATTTTTGACTTTATTTATACCATATCTATTTTGCACAAAGGATTATGTGGCTTATATACCCTCTAAAAGAATTTTGAAAATCTATGTACTCACCCGTTTAAATAGATGTCTATAATTTTCTCATTATAAAATTTAAAATTACTTAAATATTGTTAATTTAAAAGAAAACTCATATTCCTCCTCTTAATGTAGTCAATGAATCTAAATGCTTACATTATGCATTTTAAAATACATGAAATAGGGGCACCTGGGTGGCTTGTCGATTAGGCATCTGCCTTTGGCTCGGGTGGTGATCCTAGCCCACACTGGGCTCCCTGCTCATTAGGGACTATACTTCTCCCTCTCTCTCTGCCCCCCCATGCTCATTCTCTCTCTCAAATAAATAAAATCTTTAAAAAAATATATGAAACAAATTCCCCTTTAAAAATAAGAAATTTTTATCATTCCTTGTTTTATTTGAACTTGTATTTCCATTTTATCCAATGAAAATACATTTATTTATTTATCCAATAAATCTATCCAATTTTATCACCTCATCATATTTCTTTGCAAGAATATATGTACACACTTTGAAATGAACTGTTTTAGCATCTATGACTATTACAAATGGAGCAAAACGTAACTCATATAAACGTTGATACTTATTAAAATTATGAATAAAATTTATTGGAAAGGTATTTTTTGATGAAATGATTGTACAATTTCCCCAATTACATCATGTATATAGATGTCATTCCTTGCTAGAATGAAACCAGATCTAGCAGAATTCTATTCCTATTCTTTACTTTTATAAATGAAAATATTTAAAATCTTTTACTCATTACATGAAATTTGAAGAAATTTTGTTTCAGCATTGTTTTAGCAATGTAACTTAATTATTTAAATTCTTTCTTACTTTCCAAAATTCACATTGTGATCTATCATCAGTAATTATTTCTAGTGATGTGTAACCTGACAAATTAATTAGGTTCTTCCTTTGATCTTATTGAAAACAAAGAAAATAAATCACCTAGTTTGGAAGATGATGTGTTACTTACACTAGAGTCATCCACTACCTCAACAACAATATTTATAATGATCTCTTTGTACCTAGGAGGATTTTATACACCAGGGTAATGCATAAAGTAATATTCAGGAAGAGGGAGAGATATGCCTTTATTTTGCCAAATGAGACAGAACCATCATGAAGGAGACTGCAGACAAGTTTTTGGGTAGATTAATTCTAAGAAAGAGGTCAGAGGAAGTCAAAGATCCAGAAATTGATTGTTTTAAAACTATCCATGCCCGCATGTCCTTCTGATAGCTTGCACGTACCCTTAGAAGTATAGGTGCCCTAGCTTGAAGACTCTGGCTTATAAAATAAAGATATATATATATAAAGTGAAGACCAAAATAGAACAAAGGCAAGAAAGGCAAATATGCTTAATAAGGGGATTGATATATGATGGAGCATCAGGTTTAGTTCAAAGCTTTCTGGTCTAATTCAATATATATATCATTTTAAACGACTTTGTGTCTTCTGCCCTCTTTCCCTCTTCTAGAAAAAGTAACTTCATTTTTAGTAGCTACTGAAAGAAAGCTTTTGGATAACTTCTGTCTGAGGAGAGGATCTTCTAAAAGACTGAGTCCTGATGGCATAGAGCAAAGAAATCTCAGTTCATGGAAGAGTCTTAATGAGCACTCTCAATCTTTGTTTTTGCCCACAAAGCGTAACAAACACTGTTTGAGAAATAGTAAGTGTAAGTCTTGGTAATAGTTACGACTTTTGCTTTGGGTTAGAATCTTCTCTTTCCTGGATGAAACAAAGGAAACCTATTTCCATGCTCCCCCTCTTTTTGGTATCAGAAACTCTACTATAATTTTGTGACTAAGAAAGTGGGGAAGAAAAGACTGGATTTTGAGTGGTTTCAGGGAGATTAAGGGACTCTTTGAGGAGGACATATTAGGCAAAGAATTAAAAAGTACTAGAACCAGATGAGGAAAAGTAAATACATCTAAGTCATTCTGATGCATTGGGGTTAAATTAATGGAATGACAGAAACTCATTTGAGTCACTAACACTCAGCAGGTTACTTCACAAAACTGCTTTCCCAAAGGTCTATATATTTGATTAGTTTACTAGGATGAAACTAGTTGAAAACAAGTAGGCTGACATGAATAGACTATTTAGCCAAGGAAAAATATAATTAACAAGCATATTTTTAAAAAATGTTCAATCTAGGGGCGTCTGGGTGACTCATTCAGTTGCGTATCCGACTTTTGATTTCAGCTCAGGTCATGACCTCAGAGTCCTGCGTCAGGCTCTGGTCTCACGCGGTAGTCTGCTTGGATTCTCTCTCTCCCTCTCTTCGTGCCCCTACCCCTGTGCATGCGAACACACCCACTCTCTCTCTATTAAATAAATAAAACTTTAAAAAATAAAAATAAAAAACATTTAATCTAGAGAGTTAGCAGCGAGATACTAATTAAGACCAATACCATCTTATACCTATTAAGTGAGCCCCGAACACAAAATCTCAGCAGCCAACCATGTTAAAAAGGTATGACAAAATGGGAACATTTATACTTTGGAGGTGATAGCACAAATATTGGCAAAACCCTTTTAGAATCAATTTCAAGAGCTATGAAGATAATTCATATGCTTTAACTCATAATTCATTTCCAGTAATATAATTTTTATTGGTAAAGGGAAAATTACATGCATAAAAGTATTTACTGCTGTGATTCACAACAGTGCAAATTTGAAAATAAATGTTCAATAATAATTGGTCCTTTAATTCAAAGTAATAATATGGAGTGATTAAAATTACCAACCATGATAATACCTGTGAAACAATGTAGAAAATGATTAAGTTAAGAAAATACAAAATAGTTTCTATACTATAATTTTAAACATGAAAAATCATGGAACTATATGAGTAAGGATTAGAACTTGGAAAAGGGAGAGAGATTCTTTGTATTGTTTCCATGTAAAATTCCATTATTGAATTTGTATAATAAATGCTTTATAAATTATCTAGAACAAGTTGGACTTGCCATCTTGGATCTTTTCCAAGGAAGGCTCCAGGCATGTCTCTCCACCTTATCATTCCATTCTCCTCGTCATTCTTTTTTTTTTTTTTAAGATTTTATTTATTTATTTGACAGAGAGACAGACAGTGGAAGAGGGAACACAAGCAGGAGGAGTGGGAGAGGGAGAAGCAGGCTTCCCACCGAGCAGGGAGCCCGATGCGGGGCCCGATCCCGGAACCCCAGGACCATGACCTGAGCTGAAGGCAGATGCTTAACGACTGAGCCACCCAGGCGCCCCTCTCCTTGTCATTCTAGAAGCATGTCCTGCTGCTTAACATGGACTTTTTTTTCTCACTGGAGCTCTGTTATGAACCAGTACACACAGAAGCCCAGTAGTCTCAAATAATGTGTAGGCAACATTTAAAAAACTTTGTATAGATTTATTATTTTCCTTTAGAAAAATACTAAATGAAGCAAAAATGGGTTACAAAGATGCAAATCTAAGAATGCAATAAAGTAGGAAAATTAGGTGATGTGATTTTTGATCACTAAGACAACCTCCATACTTCTGGATCCAATGTTTATATCTAGGTCCCTGATACTTTTGCTCTTTCTTAGGGAGGACGTGGTGCATTCTATAAAGCAACTCTGGGGCTTTGACTGAACTGCTCCTGAACTCCCCAGTTCTGGGAAGACATACCTGACTTTAGTCAACAGCCCATCTCTTATAAAGAAAAAAAACCCATAAAGATGAACATTTCTTGGAAGAGCCACCCAGAGGGAAGGCCCCACTTGAGACATGACAGTTCCTATGTCTTACTTGGGTCTCTATCTAATCATGAGCTCAGTGATGAGGCCTCAGTTTCCTCACCTGGGAAATAAGAAAATTGGACTAGATTAGGAGCTGGTCTGCAGGTATTTTTTTTGCATAGCCCATATGTTATATTAAACTGGAAAATTTCACATGAAAATCTTACTTTCCTGCGTCTTCTACAAAAATCAAAGAATCTAGCAACACCGGGCTCAAGTTTTCTTACAACAAGAAAAGGCTGGACCCGACCAGCTACAGCCTCCAGAGGAGCACCCTGTCTGTAATTGGCACAACCTCTGCCACTGCCTTCTGTCTTACTTGCAGGAGCACTTAGACTTGCCATCCCTAGGACCCTCCTGGCTTTTACGTTAGGTTCATGGATGTGCTGGTAAATGTTTAGCAAGTTGTTCTCCAGGAAAACAAAACAAAACAAAACAAAACAAAACAAAACAAAACAAAACAGCCCTATTTGTAGTGTTTGCTGATTTCCACGATGTAAATACTCCCACGTGGCTGATTGCAAGGTACTGATGTGACAGAGATGTGCACAGTCCGTAGTGTAGTGCTGTAAAATATAATGTAATATGACATAACATAACATAATTTAACACGATTTAATGTAATAGATGGGATTTCTACCTTACAGATAAGATAGATGTAAATAGCCTGAAGAATGAGATAATAGTAAAATATAGTAAAGGAATAAGGGAGTGGTGAGTTTTAAGTATGTATTACCTTTTTAAGAAATAATTTAATTGTATGTCAATAAATTATATGTATAATTTAATTTTTAATGATGTTTATTTTCAACAGCTAGCAAATAGATTTCCTGAAGTTGTAACACTTGGCTCTTGCAAGCCGATTTAGGCAGACTCCATACTCTACTCACTATTCTTGAGGCCAGAGACAGTGAATTGTTCCTCTAGCATTCTTAATCCCTGACCCTGGCACTTGGCATATAAAGGGCACTCAATACAACTGTTGGAAGAATGAATAAATATTCAATGAGTCTACATGCCTAATCTTTGCATCACCAGGGAGCCAAATCTCTTCCCTAGGCAAAACAGGGACATTTTTCACCTGCCAAAATTTACTTTATTTGCCAACTCCCCTTCTCCTGCTGTTTTGCTTTTACAAAACAAAGGGTATCTTTAGATAAACGATTTTAACAATATTTGGATAAAAAGGGGAATCTTTTTTTAAATTTTTTTTTAATCCATGTGACAGAGAGAAAGAGAGATAGAGAGAGAGGAAATATGAGCAGGGGAGAGAGGCAGAGGGAGAGGGAGAAGCAAACTCCTCGCTGAGCCAGGAGCCTGATATGGGGCTCGATTCCAGGACCCTGAGATCATGCCCTGAACTGAAGACAGATGCTTAACCATCTGAGCCACCCAGGAGCCCCTAAAAAGAGGAATCTTGGGGTAAAGAGTAAGATTATATTCTGAAAGAAAATAATTAATAACAAAGCATTTAAGGGACTGATTGTATGAAAACCGGCTCAAAATAATGCACATGAACGCCAGGTTATATAAATCCATCCACTTCACAATTTTTAAAGAAAGATCATGCCTTTCTTCCATGTTCATTCTATTAGTTCTCTTGCGTTATAGAAGAATGGATTATTAATTAACTAATTCATTACTTATTTAGTTACTGACAATCAGATTTGGTGTGGGGCAAAGAATCTCACAGTATTTATTCACATACTGAGTTCTGAAGAATCCTGGGCTCCTTACTCTAGAAACTACCCTAATATAGTAATTTCTGTGTTTTTGTCAAAAATGCCTTCAAATCTGCATGAGAGACTGGTACGTGACAGCTCAGAAATTGGCTGGCTGGATTATTTGGTTCACCCAGGGAAAATGACTAGCTTTCATTCTAAGTGGTACTTTTGAATCAGGGTTGATGGTTTACTCAGTCCCTAGTGCCCTAGAGGATTTTTCTTTGAAGAACAAAAGACACAAGTAGAAATTTCAATGACTCACATAGTAGCTTATTGCTGAAAGGGGTACCTCACTTAGGATATGGAGAAGGGAAAACAGACATGCTTGGCCCCATGTAGCAGACACCCTGAGTTTCCTTCTTCGTTTAAATAGGGTCTAACAACAAGACCTCCAACATAAGAAAAAAAAATTGAGAACAAATTTGTTTTCAAAAAAATTTGAAAACAAAGAACTGATGTTTTCCTCTTGCCCCTTAAATAACACCTAAAAAACACACATAGTAGATTTTTCTGCAGCAACTCTGACACTGGTAGTGGGCCAGTGTGATGGGTTAGCTCCTATGACAATCTCCCTTTTCCTCAGTCTGATGGTGTAACCTCGTGTTTCCCAAATACTGCTTGCATAACTGCCTTGAAGAAGACTCAGAAAGTGGCTAAACTGGACAAAACTTCATATTATCTCAGATCTGGATGTGGGAACAGAAGCATGGAAAAAGAGTATAGGAGGTGGCCCTTGATTTTTAAGAGCAGAGCAGAAATTAGGAGTCTAATAAATTTTTCCTCCTGCCGCCCCCCGACACCTCTTTTGTTTCTGGTCATTAAACCTGAGGCTTCACAAGGATTTATTAAAATTTTATGTTCATTTTCCTGATCTTATTGGGAGTGCCTCATAAATATTCAAGATGTGAGGGCCATCTGGCTGAAACATCTGTCACCTCTTTGATTGCCAATGTTGTCTGGGTGACATAACTCACCTTCATTCCTCGATTTCCCCTCCTGGGTAGTTTTGAAAATCTTGTGTTTGATGAAAATGAGAGACTTTCCCCAAGACAAGGGGTCACTTGCATGGTAGGGTGACTAACCATTCCTGTTTGCCTGAGACACTTAGTGCTAAAACCCATGCAGTCCCAGGTGAAGCAGGATGAACACTCTACTAAACTTGCGTGCCTTCGCTAGCACGTGCGCACATGCTTTCAATTATTCATGATAAGATAATAACAATGATGTATTGACATTCAGGATAATATTTCAAAGGTATGGAAACTCACCTTGAAAGGCCACAAATGGCTTTAATGCTTTTCATTACTATATTATCGGTATATGGAACAATCTACTCTCGAAATCCTTGACATTAGAAGTTGTTGCTTAGACCAATTTCTACTCAAAAAAATTGGGGAAACTTTCAACATGTATCATTATCAGTAATAAAGGCATTATTCATTGAAGAAATACATTTCCCGAAAGAAGATCCCTACCCAAGCCCTTGTTTTCTCCAAAAATAAGCATAATTGCCAGAGAGAGACCCAAGATTCTGCTCTTCATGATGCTACCCAGAGGTGATTTATTTTGATGGGTGAATGCTCTCTCTAGAGACAGTCACCCACAAATATGTGGTACCATTAGAGATTTGTTTCTCGGTTTCCCCTAGGTCCGTGGCAGCTGGTGAGGGAGGACAATGACAGCAGATACTATACTATGACTACCTTACCGGGTTCTTTTCATTGAAGAGGAGCGCCGCTGGTGGGACTTCTTAATTTCAGAAGCAGCAGAAGCATCTGGGGTCAGTGCGATCCAGACGCAGGTGAAGAAGACCAACAGGGAAGCCAGGATCATCTCTTCCAAAAGAATGTAGAAGGATGCAATCAGGACTGTGATCAGTAGTGCTTCTTCATCTTCATGCAACTCTTTAAAAGTAAATAGAGTGCCAAGTAAAGGAAAAGGAAATAGAATGCCAAGTAAAGGTATCAAGGAAAAGGGAAAGGCATTGCCTTCAATGCGGTGTCTTTTGTTTTAGTAGATTAAATAAATTCACATCACTTACAGGGAAACATCTGTCTGACTCATCAGCCGTTTAGGGAAAACAAAGCAGATTTTTTCATTTTCAGTTTCCATCCTTTAGTTCCTCTTTCCAGGGAAGGTTCGTAGTGGGATGCTTGATCCCCTACTCAATAAACTCTCAGCTGCAGTCCTCGGCAGACAAAGAAGAGAGGTTAGGCATTAAATCCCCTTAATCCAATACATATCATTTGAATATATTTAATGATCCAGCAAAATAATATGCTTAAAAAGAACAAAGATGATTAATTTAATTTTAATTATACATTTGAAGACCTTTTCTTTTTCTCTTGGCTCCTTTTTAACCAGAAATTAATCTTTTTCTCCCTAAATGCATACAGATTGCCATAGTGCATACAAAAAAATAAATTATTATTTTTGTTGGGCAAATAATCATATTTTAAGATGATGGTGTATTCCATTGAAAGCAGAAGTGGTTCAATTTAAGATTTAATATGGTAAGCTGCCTGATAAATAAAAAATAAATTAGCCTCGAGCAGTGGGTAAGGTATACACTGTCACTGTTAAATTATGACCACACACATTCCTAAAAGTTCTCTGCACCCATAGAGTAGAAATATTCCCTGGAAACATTTCCTTTATGTATGCAATATTCCAATGAATGAGCATGTCCGTGACATTAAATTTCTCCAACTGGAATATCACAAGGTGAGCAATGTAGCAACAGCTGACCTGTTTACCAGGATTTAAGAAGAATACCGTTTTCTCAGAAATAGAGTTGAAGGAAATTCTTAAATTTCCTGGAATTGATTTATCTCCTGACACCTTGTATCCTATGTTATTGCTTTAGCACATTAATTTATTTTTACTCAGGTTACCCCTTCTCTTAGCCAATGTATCAAAGCCTTCTTGTATGCTGCTTAGCCACGTCTTTCCTCTTTAAAATATATGCTTAATATAAAATATTACAAATATACAGGATGATGTAATAAATTCTTACCTCTTCCCTTATCCGCTAGTGTTTATCATCATATACAGTTAAACTATTACATGTACACATTCATAAATAACACACAAACTTTTCGCATGTTTCAAAAACTTTATAAAAATAGTGTCCTATTATACTTTTACTTTTGCAACCTACTTTTTCTCTTAACATTATGCCTAGAGATTTATTATGTTAATAGATGTAGCTCTAGTTAATTCATTTTTACTTTTTTTATTTTTATTTTTAAAAGATTTTATTTACTTATTTGATAGAGAGAGAGACACAGCGAGAGAGGAAACACAAGCAGGGGAAGCGGGAGAGGGAGAAGCAGGCTTCCTGCTGAGCAAGGAGCCCAACGCGGGGCTCGATCCCAGGACCCTGGGATCATGACCTGACCCGAAGGCAGACTCTTAAGGACTGGGCCACCTAGGCGCCCCTCCAGTTAATTCATTTTTAATTGCTATATGGTTTTTCAGTGTGTGGATAACTAACATTTAACTTATTTATTCTTTTATTGGTGGACATTATTTATTTTTCTATCATAAACCATCTATTATAAACAATTCTGCAGTGAATGTTTGTAAATATTTCCTTGTGTACACGTATACTTGTTTCTTTAGGGTACATACCTAGAAGTAAAACTGTGAGGCTGAACATTTTTCACACCTCCAAATTTACCGGATACTACTACATTGCTCATAAAAGTGAGTATACCAATTTACACCCCCACTCCTAAAGAATGAGAGTCCTCATTTTTAAAAATCTTTTTAAAGCTTAGTATTATCAGGTTTCTAAATATTACCTAATTCAATGACTGTTGTAGTTTTAATTTTAATTTCCCTACTGGCTAGAGAAGTGTCAGCCTCAGAAATAAAACTGCCAGTTATTTGACTGGCAGAAACAGGTTTATTCAAGAATAGTAGAGAATTGCAATCCGGGACAAGCAATCTAAGGCAAGGCATCTGCAAGTCCACAGAACAAATGAGAGGGAACTCTCCTTTATGGAGGAAAGGGAAAAGTTGGGAGGGGCTGTTATAAACAGTCCATTGGAATAAACTGGGAGTTTGAAGTGTAGTGGCTTCCCATGGGCTGAGTTGTGACAGTCTCTCATTGGCTGGGCGGCAAGTAAGTCTTTCTTCCTCCTGCTGGGATATTAAAGTAAGTATCCTCTGGTCTGGTCTATCTCTTCTTGTCGGGTCTGCCATTGACAAGGAGTGGTGGGGAGTGAGAGCTCCCCCTGCTGGCCTCGGGATTCCGTTCTAAAGGGGGTTTCCTTTCACTCATTTTCACAGAAGTCCGAGCACTTTTCTCATGTATTTCTGGGCCAGTAAGCTCTCCTCTTCTGCAAAGAGCCAGCCGATAGAAGACATGTAAAAAGAGTTGTTGGTCTTAAGCTACTGTCACTTTGGCTGCTGGAGGACTTCCTTGTGGTCACAGTTTGTTTTGCACCTCAGTGCTCCCGTGAGATCCAGGGCCTGACCCCTTGAGCCTAGCATCCTATGCTGCCTAGGTCTATTTTCTTCGCTTAGTACCGTTATCTACACCAACATTTCCCAGAGTAGTTCATGGCTACACTGGAGATATTTTGTGAAAAATTGTTCGGTGCTAAGTGAGTTTGGGAAATGTGTTTTACCCTTTCAGGGATTTATAGTTCACATTACATGGTACAGTGGAAGTATTCTTGTCCTGCAGCAACTTGGAGGATGTTCGTTCAGTGGTCTAGTCTCAGTCCTTATCTTGCTTGGTCTATGAGAAGTCTTGATGCACAGATCTCCCTCCTATTTGCAACATTTCCTTCACTTGCCTTCTGGGATTCCATACTCTCCTGTTTTCCTCTCTGGTCATTCTTCCTTAGTCCTGTTATCTGATTCTCCTTCTTCCATCAGATTGCCTAATATTGGAGTGGCCCCGCCCTCAGTACCGAGTACTGATCTTTCCTATCAACTCACTTCTTTAGGGATCTCATCCAGTCTCAAGGCTTTAAAAACCGTACCAGCAATCCCCAATTTACATCATCGGTCTGGGCTTTCTCCCAAATTCCATCTCATATTGCTATGGTCTCTGTGTTTGTGTCCCCCAAAATTCATGTTAAAATCCTAACCCCCAAAGGTGATAATTTTAGTAGGTGGGTCCTTTGGGAGGTAATTAGATCATGAGGATGAAGCCCTCACAAAAAATGGGATCAGTGACCTTATTAAAGGGACCCCAGAGAGATCCCTCACCACTTCCACCACGTGAGGATACAATGAAAAGTCTGCAACCCAGAAGAGGGCCCTCATCTGACCAAGCTGGATCCTGATCTCAGACTTTCAGCTTCCAGAACTATGAGAAACAAATTTCTATCGTTTATAAGCCACCCTGTCGAATGGACTAAGCCCGAACGGACTAAGACACACACCCAACTACCTGCTTAATGTCTCTGCCTGGATGTCTGATAAGTGTCTTAAGTTCCACATGTCCAAAAGTAAGCTTGTTAATATTTCTCTCCTGATTCATCTACAACCTTCTCTATCTCAGCCGATAAAATACTGTCCTTTCTCGACTCCTCTCTCTCACACTCCATGTCCAATCCACCTTAAGAATACATCAGGATCCCAGTGCTTCTCACCACCATGTCAGCCACTTCCCTGCTCTTCAGTCGCCATCTTGCTTGAATTATTGCAGTAGTGCCCTATCTTGCTTCTTCCCTTGCCCTGTTTCATTCAATTCACTGCAACCAGTGGTTCTTTAAAAATAAAGATCAAGTCAAGTCACTCCCCTCTTCAAAACCCTGCAATGGCTTCTCCTCTTTCTCAATTTACAAAGTCTTTACAGTGGCTAGGAAAGCCCTACAAAATCTGCAACTACCTCCTCCTCTTTGCCTCTCTGACTTCTGCTACTCTTCCTTCCACTCCTACCAGCTCTTCCGTAAACACTGGCCTCTTTGTTGTTCCTTGAACATTACCAAGCATGTTTCCACCTCGGGAAACTGAGATGGAAATGGGTTGTTACCCTTGCCTGACACGCTCTTTATCCAGGTATCTATATGAGTAACTCCTTGAACCAGCTTAAATCTTTGCTCAGATGTCCTTTACTCAATGGAACATACCCTGACCACTCTTTAAATAAATGTAGTATGCTCCCTTTCCTCCAACAACCTGTGCTACAATCTACCTTATATGGCCTTTAGCATGTTTTATACAGTTTACTTATTATGTTTATTGTTCATTTTCTGTCTAACCCTGCTAGAATGTAAGCCATACAAGAGAGCAATCTTTGTCTTGTTCCTTGGAGTATTCCAAACACATAACCATTTTTGGCAAATAGTCTGTGTTTAATAAATATTTGTTGAATGATTATTAACACATCAAAAGCCTTAGTAAAAAAGCTTGTTTAGTTCTGCTGAATTCTATGTTTCCCAAACTCGATTGGCCTCAGATCTCCTTTTCCAAAAAAAATCTGCAGTGCTTACTAATATTCCTCAAAAAAAGTGCTCCTCTAAAACACCCATTGGGAAATTCTGATTTATAGGTAAATCTGTGCTTTACACATCCTCCCTATCAAAATGTTATGTCCTATCATCTTGAGACTGCGTTTGATGACTGCTAAACTTTTAAATTCACAAGGTAATAGTGGTAGCTGATAAAAAAAATAAGCAAGACATTAAAAGAGGATTTTGAAGTGATATTTTGACCTGAAGGAATGAGGCACTAAAGCAGAAATTGTCCACTTTTTCTGGAGCAGTGGAGCTATTTTGGAGCACATGTTTTTTAGACACACCTGGCAGATCACATGCCTTCCACTACCACTTAAGTCACATCAGGATGCCCCTCTCCACACTGTAGGGATA